TTTAACCTCTGTATGTACCCGACTGAAACACTTACTGAGTTCTACATTTAACATAGAAGCTGAAGCGATTTGCTGATTCATCAGTTTGTTAATCAAGAGAAAATGAATCAGCATCTTTTAGTGATTGGACAATCATTGTGTAATGTTTTCTTTTATTCTCAACATTGAAAATTTACTAATTGCCCTTTTACATTATAGGAATTTAAAGCTCTTTGGATTTTGGACAGTTGGTAGAGCCTAAACAGGGCTAATGACATTTTTCAGTTGTCTTTTTATTATTTTTTGAAAAACCAGATATGAGGAATGAACAACGAGTGTTTCGGTGAGAAACAGCGAATGCATACACAAGGGTGAGCGTTTCCATGAAAGCTCCACCTTTAATCAAGGATAAGAATCCTGCACACTGAGGCCGCCCTACCTCTCTGTAGGCCCACTGCCCCTGCGTGTGGACGGTGCGGTGACACTCCGTGTACTGGCTGGCGGACTCGGGCTCTGATGAATGCCTCTGGAAGGAGCAGCCGAACTGGAGACTCTTGTCCTGCGTTGGCACGGCGATGCTGAGCCCCGGGAAGCCCTCGGGGTCCAGGTCAGCCTGCACGCTCGCCGTCACGCTGTTGGAGCGCTTGAAACGAGCGCGCCTGCAAGACAAGAAGTCACAGCGGGGCCCAGAGCAATCCAGTCACACAGTATCGCATGCACAAGCCTTTCTCAAGTGTTTATTTTTTCCCCCCCTTCTTCTAATAATCGCACATTTCTTTTTGCGCGAGCTGTCACCGCAGTCACTACTGCTCACTTGCTTGTGATAAGTCCTGCTAAATCCTCTGGCATATGACGCACCAGTGTGTGCAAATGTCACGTCAGCGGACTCAGTAATGACTGTTTACTCTATTACAAGTTTATCCCCCCCCCACCTCCCCACCTCCCCTCATCCTTGTTTGCTGTCTGATGAGGTGTGACTCAGATTTCCGCTATCGGCCTCCTGTTTTCTCCTCGGATGTCGCGCTGTCATCCTCCATGACTGCGTGAGGTGAACACAGTTACCAGGTGAGCGATCGCACACCGCTCGAGGTTTGGGAGTAGCGAGCGCTCTTCATGCATGCGTGCAAATCTGACCCGTTCGCAGCGCTGGATATAATTAGGAGAAGGGCTGAGTCACGTGCGAAAGTCATGTTGAGTGTATGATTTGCAGTTGTCATGGTTACACCCACTAATGGCGAAAAAACAATACATTCTCGGAACAAAGCATCACTGAATTCAAGCTGTGATGTCTGATGAAATGTTAAATGAAATAATAGGATCTAGCCTAGAAATCAACCATAGGTGGCTGCACTGTTGGACGCCCAGGAGATGAAGGCTTTTTCCCCCCAGATTATCAAGTAAAATTATTCACATAAATTACTGTACAAATACCAAAAGTTCTTGATGAAGGCACATATTTTGGGGCTAAAGATAAATGATCAAACAAACAAATGCGCATTTTAGTTTGCAAATTTGTGTGCTCATAATGAATGAAGTTACTTAAAATGCCAGGCAAAACAAACAGCTCTAAGAGTTGGGGAGAGATTTGGAAAGAAATACTTTTCCGCCGCTTTGATTTTCTAAGTTTTTGTTGTTCCTTTACCTCTTGTCATCTTCCACTTGGACTCCTATCGAGTGGACCTCTGTAAGAGCTTTGCCCTCCGCATCTGAATCTGACAGCGTCTCTGAACTGTCCACCTGCAGCAGAAGAAACCACAGTTGCTGAAGGCTATCGTACGTAACTGGAAATGAAGGAATAGTGAGACAGAAATGGCTCCAGCAGACTGTCAGCTTTAACTCAACATGAGTCCTACAACACAAGGACACAGCTCGCCTCGCTTTGTCCGAAGGTTATTCACCAAACAGCACCTCCAAAGTTCACTAGTTATTATAAAAAAAAGTCCCGACAGAAACCCAAGAGCAGGAAAGTCAATATGTCGTTTTATATGAGGTTAAAGAGGGGTAATATAGTGAACAATGCCAGAACAGCTGTTTCCCCCTTTTGTTGTTTTACTAAGTGAAGCTGCAGAGTGTCTTAAAACTGAACAGATACTGGCTGAAGAATATGAATGTATTTTCCAAAATGGCAAACGGTACTATTTATACCACTATTACGTCTATGTGTTAAAAATGGATCTATATCCAGAGGCAAGGTTTGAGATTACCAAGGTAACCACAGGGTTTAACTGGACTGTTTACAGAACTACAATAGTGGTTCACTTCTTCGTGGAGTACATCGCCATGGCAACTCATGCCGACTGCCTCACCTGCTCCGGATCAGGTTATGTTTAAGGTAGCGGATCAATGCATCTTAAAGCATCGCTACTGACCAATCAGCTTACACACAATTACAACTTTAGCTCATCTATTTCTGTCTTAAAGATAACGCAGTGATACTGATAAGTCTGCAACTTATGCATTCATAAAGTCACCGGTTTTGGCTTGACTGCAGCAGCTGTGTTGCTTTTAGCCGGCATTCATTTTTTTTTAACTCCTCATATTGGTTTAGAATTATAGTTTCTAGTGGGGATTTTTTTTAAAACATTGCTGAAATATCCCCATTTATCAGACCCAGTAAATGCACAAAAACAGAAACAATCTTTAGATTTTCAATTTTCCGAGTGTCCTTGAACTCATCATGTGGTTCTGTTGGCAAAAATAACTAAATCTAAGACTGAAATTATGACATATATGCATATATATATATATATATATTAAAATCAGAATCACTTTCTTTTATGTCTAATTTAAACATTTGCCAAAAACCTCAAAATTCTACACAAAAAACGGACTCAGTGGTGACCTACAATCACATTACAAACACTCAGGGACCTTCAACTGAACTGGACTGAACTGCAGGCTGTGTTTACCCAGAGCAGATAAGAAAGCATGGAAACAAATTAAAAATGTAAACAGTAAAATATCTGTCACATGTGGAGCTACCGTTCTTTTTCCAGTTTTGGCAGCAACTGTGGCCAACTTTAAAAATGTTGTACATGATTCTGCTTTAATTTATTTATTTTTTTAATAATCTAATTAATTCAGCTTCATCATTTTTTGACATAACTGTGTTTTACTGCACAAAAGAAATGTTTTGCATTCTCTCTACTTCTAGTCTGAGTCGTGCTGTTTCCATAGAGGTGGAGGACTTTATATTGCAGTGAAAAATGAAATAGGTCCAAAAATGTGAGGGGATCAGAAATGACTAGAAATCACTTGGCGTTGAGAGGGTTAGTTAATCTAAATAGACTAATGTGCAAAAATGTTTTTAAAAAATGATGCATGATAGTTATAGTTACAATTTTAAAGAAGCAGGTCTGTGCTTTCTCACCTGCACAGCTATGGAAGGTCTCCACTTTCTGCCGCCGCGTCCTTCGTCCTGCCCTCCTACTTTACTCAGCACTATACTATTCTGAGGCAGAGACGCCGACTTCCCCAGGCTGCCTCCGACCCTGCCGTCCCTCTCCCTGGCTGGCCTCGGCGGCCCCTCCAGGAGACTGTCAGCAGAGCTGCTGTGCTTGGCCCTCACCCCGACGCCCGGACCCCCTCCATAGGGCACCAGCTCCCTCGACCCCCTGACCCCATCTAGGCTCTCTGCGGAATTACTGTGCTGTCTGGAACGTCCAGGGCCGCTGGCCGTGTAGTAGCCGCCTCTGGAGGCGCGACCTGAGGGCCCGTCAGAGCTACCCAGGTCCACGGAGTTGCTGTGCTGCTTGGGGCGCCCGGGGCCGGAGCTCGAGGCCAGCTGTCCGCTACTCTGGTAGTAGGCATCCTGGGTGGACTCGGTGCTGCTCTGGGCTCGCACCGAGAGCGAAGACTTTGACATGCGAGGTGGGAGTGGGGGAGGAGCACCTTTACGATAAGGAAAGACTGAAGTGTCAGAAGAGCAGAGGAAAGGGAAGACAGAGGCAAAGAGGGTTGTTATAAGTAAAATGGGTAATAGATCAACAGGAGCAGAGGAGGTGGATACTTACAGAAGGGACAGACTGGAGGGAAAATGTGACAGGAAAGAATGAAACAAAGCAGGGGAAAATGCAGAGGAGACCAGTACAGAAAGATAGGGAGAAAACAACAAAACACATTAACTATGTCAAGATGTGGCAGAAAGATTCACAAACATAACATCACAAAAAAAAAAAAAAAATCAGCTTTTAGTATGAATTTCAGTGAAAGGCGCGGAGTGAAGTGCCGGAAAAAGACAGACATGCCAGAAGTGACAAAAGAAACCCTCTTCCCTTGAGCTAACTTAACTCTGCTTCTTAAGGAGACAAAGCAATTTCCAGGGAGAAATACTAAAACGAGACGTGCAGATTCTTCCTCTTCTTCCCCCTCCTTCGCAGCGTCGTCTTCGTATGCACAGTTTATTTTCAGAGTGCAAAAGACGACGACTGCGACGCTCCAACCTCCCCATGTGTGCATACATCTATGTAGGTGTGTGAGCATGTGTGTTGATGTAAATGACACTTCACAGAGGCTTTAATAGATCTCAGGGGAGGATTTGCTGGAAGCTAAGAAATTTGAGTCCTGCAAAGGCACTAAAAAAAGTGGCTCCACTGAACAAACACGCAAAAGCAAATACATGCACCCACACACACATAATCACAAACTACTGCAGACGGATTGCATATCAGGCTTGAGCATTATTAGGAGGAATTATCAGGAAAAAAACAAACATCACAAAGAGTGAGGGGAAGAGAGAAGGCAAAGAAATGAAACCACGCCAGGAAGACAGAAGCAGTTGGAGACAGTGAGCCATCATCATAATCAGGAGTGTTCCTGTACCTATTACTGAGCCTGAGAAAACCTGCAGTCGCACAGGGGAGGGTGACGGAAGAGATGAGATACAAAGACAAGAGAGAGAACAAAGAGAATGCACAATAACGTACACGCAGCTCTGTGCTTATAGCGCATACATGCAAAAGGCTCGGGTAGGAAAAAGTGAGACGGACTTGAGAGAAGAGAAATGAGAAATTAAAAATGGATGCACACATGGCAAGCAGATGAGCGGCGAGTGAAGAGGGTTTTGTGGATGTGCATAGATTTGCTTTTGTCAACGCTGAACAGACGCAGGTTGTCACAACATTCCTTCTCCCACTGCGTCTCCCACCAGGTTGCTGCCACATAAAAGGCAACATCTTATCTAACGTTTCAACAACCACAGGCTTTCAGGTGAGCAAGCACACTCACCGGCCCCGCCCTTGATGCTTCCCTGGGGGCCGGACATGGAGAAGACGGAGAGGCAGTCGTCATCCTGGGAGCAGCCGGCCTGGATGGCGCGAACGTAGCTGTGGCTGCGAGTGCGAAACACGCCGGGAAGATCCAAGGCCTCGACAGCTTGGGACTCCACCTCCCCGAACATGGTCTCGCACACGGCCTCGAACTGGCGGTTCAACGTGTCCCCCAGCTGGAGAGCGAAGAAGGGGCGGTGATGTAAAGTTCACAGAAAACAGATGCCATCAAACCACTGTTAGCTGTTACCTGTGAGCTGGTCAGAGAGCGGGTGTAACTACGAGAGCGGGTGTGGGTTTTGGGCGCCGTCCGGTTGTTGGTCGGGTAGGAATCTGTGCACTGCTTACACGAGTACCTGGAATA